CCTCCCAAATGCTGAGATTAGAGACATGCACCACCATGCCCAGTTTATGCAGTGCTAGGGCTCAAACTCAAGACTTTGTACATACTTGGCAAGTTCTGAGCTTCATCCCTAGCCTCTCTTTTGTTGTTTTTAAATTTGTTTTCTTTCTTTTTTTTCTTTTTGAGTCAGTGTCTCTCTGTAGCTACAGCTGCCCTGGAACTTGCTATGGAAACCAGACTGGCCTCAATTTCATAACAATCCACCTGCCTCTGCCTCCCAAATGCTGGGATTAAAGGTGTGAGCCAGCACACCTGACTTTAAATTGGTTTTCTTATGTTTGGTCATAAGATACCTGTCCTTGGGAATTAGTGGCTTTTTTGAAGGAAGAGAGGGCTGGAGGGTGTTGATCAGAGGTACCTATCATGCTCAGACTCTCATGTCTCATGGAACTTCATGATATTGACTCTATCCCTAATACTGTCTTCTAAAAACTACTAGGTTTAATTATAGAAAGTAAACAGTGTTTCATTTTTTGCTGGAGTTTCTATAACACGTTGGTTTATTTAAGACGCCTATAACAAATGATAACAAGCTCTGTAGTATGGGGATTTATTACCACCTGACCTAGGGGCTAGAGATTCAAGTGATTGTCAGAGGGGCAGTGTTCCTTCTGCAGTTTTAGGGAAGGACCTTCTAGGAAAGAATCCTGCCTCTTAGCTTTATGATTATCAGCAGGGCAATGTGCCCTCTGCAGTTCTAGGAAGAACCATGCCTCTTAGTTTTTGGTAGCTGGTATTCTTAGCCTGTAGCTGTAGCACTTTTGCCTCTAACCTCACAGGTGTTCTTCTGTGCGGCCATCCGTCCGGTCTGCGTTCATGGTCATCACCACCACCACCCAATCCCAGACCCCAGGGCTGGTGAGGAGACTGTGTCAGCAGAGCCGCATTCAGACACAGGAGACCAGGTTCAGTGATGCAGATCTATTTTATTGAGGAATTTACAAGCTTATATAGGGTCCCAGGACCAATCAGACAAGGATACAACGACTATGTCATATATGGGCAGCCCTGGTTCCGGGACCAATCAGACAAGGATACAATGACCATGCCATATATGGGCAGCCCAGGTTCCAGTAAATCATGTGGCCATGGCTGTTGTTATGCCCACGTGCTGCAAGCTGTAGATAAACTGCAACCTGGAATTTCAAGGGGTGGCGACTAAGGAGTGGAGAGCCTTAAGCATCAGCCCTACGACTTGCCAAATGGAGCAATAATCACAGGGTGTTCCTCATGGGCCATTGCCTCAGGCCTGCTATATGGGTGTCATTAGGACTTCCACTCTAGGCTCAAGCCTGTCTCCCACACTTCTGTGTATGTTTTCTGTGGATTTTTCAGCATCTAAGTTTCTCTCTTTAAGAATCTTAGTCTTGGATTAGAGTTGACCTCAATTTAGTATGGCTTTATTTTGAATTGATCTGCAAAGTCAGAGTCAGTCTCTCACTCTCCTTCCCCCACCCCCTTTCATTCTGTGTGTGTGTGCTTGCACCTATGATTGTGAACCATGGGGTCTCACATATGGTAAGTATACGCGCTACACTTAACACCACCTACAACCCCTTATACTGTTTCTGAATACAGTCGCAGATTCTGGGTAGACATGAATTTGTGGAGGCTGTGCTATTCTGTCCAACACATTCTGGTGTCATCTGTTAGTAATTCAATATTGGGTTCAAAGTGATAGCCATCATGAACTAGCATTTGCATGATGTAGAGTGTTCTGTAGGTGGCTATTCTGTTTTGAAGAACTGGTTATCGAGCCTTTTGTTGATTCACCATTAACATTTTGAATCTGTGGTATTTGATTGTCTTGAAATGTTAAAATTCATTTACTATTTTTATGTGTATGAGTGTATTGCCTGCACGTATGTAAGTGCACCCATGTCATGCAGTGCCCCCAGAGGTCAAAAGAGGATGTCAGATCCCCTGGAACTAGTACTACAGATGGTTGTTAACCACCATGTGGGTGCTAGGAATTGAACCTAGTCCTCTGTAAGAACAGCCAATGTACTTAACTTCTGAGCCATTTCTCCAGCCCCATGATCAGCCATTTTTGCTTTTAGTTTTGAAAACACATTTATAGCTCTGAAAACCCTTATTGAAATCAATCAGCTTTATTTCTTTGACTCTTTAACACTAGTCTCTGCCTCCTTCCTCATTAAACCTGCCTGCCTCTACTTCTTGAGTGCCAGGATTAAAGATGTGTGTCACCATGCCCAGCTTGTTTTATTTTAAAACATGTTCTCACCTGTACCTAGCCCTGGGTGGTCCAGAACTTGAGATTCTGCTGCTTCAGCTTCCTGCGTGCTGGACTCATAGGTGTGTGTTGCTTCCATACCAGACTCATCTTTAGCTTTTAGTGTTAGAACCTTTGTGTAATCATTTGTCACTGTAGGTTTTGCTTTGTTGATCCAAGCTATGTTAAAAAAAACTTAGGGATGTGGAGAGATTTTGAAGAATATTAAACATGATCTTAACATA